AAACACTTATAGTGTACTAAGTTTCTTAGTGTGCAATCAATACATATTAGACCAACTTAATAAACTTAATTATGTTTAGTATAGTAGAAAAGAAAAGAGAGATAATATTAGTCAGGAGAAAAATAAAAGAAAAGAAAAGAATGGATTATGTTACCTATTTATTGTGTTTGGTTGATTAATGAAGACTAAAAAAATTGTGATAATCATGATGGAGAAAAGAAAATAAATTTACAACTATACATTTTTCCGTTAATTTTATCTTTCATAAAACTAACGAACAAATTTGATATTAATAAATTTCACTAAAAAGATCATTTCCTTCTTATTCTTTAGGAAGGACAACAAAAACTATTATGTTGCGTTTGGTGTGCAGAAATGTGAAAGGGGATAAAAGGAAAAACTATTATGCTGCGTTTGGTGTGCAGAAATGAGAATAGGGATAGAAGGAAATGGTCGTTCTTATTCTATTATTTGGTTGTAAATATTAAATGTGTAGGAATGGAATAATAATAACAATTATAGTATTTCGTTAGATCAATTTTGAATTTTGAATGGAATAAATTTCAAATTGAGTTCTTCAAAATATCCATGTTAGTAACAAATAAGTTAAATTAACAAAAATGACATTCTTTTATAATTTTTAAAAAATAAATGGTGGTAGTGGCAGTGGTGGATGCTGGTGGTGAGGGTGGTGAAGGTGGAAAGCAGTAGTGGTGTAGGTGGTGGTGTTGGAAGGCAATGGCGTCTACAATGGTGGAAGGCGGTGGCAGTAGTGTAGTTGGCGATGGTGGAAGCCAATGGAGGTGGCTGTAGTGGTAGTGGAAGGCAGTGGATGTGGCAATGGTGGAAGGCGATAGCAGTGGTGGTAATGGAAAGCGATGGCGACGATGGTAGTGGAAAGTGGTGACGGTGGTAATGGTGGAATGTGGTGAAAGACGGTGGTGGTGGTAGTGGTGATGGAAGGCGATAGCGGTGGTGGTGGCAGCGGCGACGGTGGTGGTGGTGAAAGGTGATGACAATGGTGAAAGGTGATGGCGATGGACGATGGTGAAAGTTAATGGTAGTAGTGGTGGTGAAATGTGGAGATAGTTATGGTAGAAGGTAGTGGTGATTTTTGAATTTAGAATATGAAAGTTTTTTGGGAATTTGATTTTTTTAAAACAAAATTACTTAGAAATGGAATGACCATTCTATAGATTTAATTGTGGAATGGATTTTCATTCTAATAGAATGATTATTCCCATTTTAAATTGCATACCAAAGGAATAATTGAAATAAGCGTTCCATTACATTCCATTTCATCTCTTCACATGGAAGGCACCATTATATCATTCATTTGTCTTTTCTTTTCTATTTTTATACCAAATACAATTTCTCAATCTCCCTCCATTAATATTTTTTATTTTTCTTTCTATTTTTATTGTACCAAACTACCCAAAGATTAAAGATTAGGAAAATATTTTAAGATAGGTAGACACAATAATTAAATAGTATTGCAAAATTGACCATTTTGTGAAATTGACGGTTTTAAATGGATTGGTCAACACGATTCAAGTGAAAAAACAAAAAGAAAAACTGTTCAAATAATTGAAACTCATTAGTTTATGGTCCACGCGGAGAGAGAGAAAGAACGCCCCAGTATCAAGATGTGCATCCTTCCTTATCAGTCTTTGTTGTTGGTAGGATCCTTATCAATCTTACTTCACCTTTTTTGATAGTTGTATTTCAACTATTTTATTCTTCAAGTCAAATCAATTGTTTTCAAGCAAAATAAAATGAGTACGTGTCATTTTTTACTTTTTATCTTTTCGGGTAAATTGTCACATTTTTTGCAAGTAAAAGAAATGGAATGTGTGTAAAACTATAACCTATTTCTTGTAAAATTTTCATTTTCATAAACGGATAATTTTCCTTGGTAGCCATTCTTTTACTAGTCTAGGTCATCGTCCTTATCCTTCCCATTTTCTTTTTTTAGAACAACTACTTATTGTTGCAAATATAAATAATTAATTAAAAATAAAAAGAAAAAAGAAAAAAATCTCAGAGATTGAGAACTACTAATAATAATAGGTTTACCCAGTGATCTATTTCATGAAGCATAAGCCATAAAAGGAAATAATTTTCCAACAAATTCTTCAATTGCACATGAAAATTACTATTATTAACCACCCTCGGTGTTGGATGCTTCAATTTATTATCTAAATTGGAACAATCTAGCGCAGAATACTTTCCAGTTTGTCACTTCTTACTAAATTTTTGGTGTGAAGGAAATGGACATTTGCGGGATTGTGATTAGTTTAAGAAGGTGGTAAAACCTCAAACCACATGGGTCCCTAACTCCAGAGAGAGACTTGTGGGCAAGGACGAAGCTACAGCAGCCTAGGCCTGGGCCTAGGGGCAATTGCCCACCCTAATTTTCTTTAAAAAATTATATATATATATATATATATATATACTGTATATTTTGTGTTGTGTGTAGAATTTTAGCCTGTAATTTAATCTCTCGTCTTGATCACCGGTCCATTACATCTCTATTAGACGTCACATTAGAGAAGTATAACTTCTTAAGGAACATATAATTATTACATTATTTCCTTCAAGAGTTATTATGTTGTCTTTTTAAATTTGAATATTTTTTAAAATTTAAAAGTATTTATGAAAAGATGTAAAATTTGATGTTTAAATTTAAAAAATAAACAACTAATTAGGGACAATCAAAATAGAATAAATTGAGACGAAGGAGTACTACACAACACTTTTTCAATTATTTTTTAATAAAAAATTGTGTATATATATATATATATATATAATATAACGTGAAAGATTGAAGCCTAATGATATGTACTTCTTGCCAATCAAAAAAAAAAAAAAGTTACAACAAAATTCTAAATAGGGTTAAGGGCAAAAAAAACTCCTTGCTATATAAAATATATGCAAAAAATACTCATATTAAAAATAAATAAAAAAATGCATATAACTCCATGTATTATTTATTTTTTTGAGCAAATTGTCCCATATTGAATAAATCTGTTAAAAAATAGCCGTTTGTGATGTCATTTCTTTTTAAATCCAAAAATATCCTTTTTGTGTAACAAGAACGCCCCTACAAATTTTGTATATATTTGAAAAGTGAATGGGATTTTTTTGGATGAACTTAAAGATGTATCCATTAAAAATTCTCTCTAATATATATTTTTTCTTTTAAAAATATCTCTATGTTGTACCAAGAAGACATTTTTTTATTTTTTATTTTTATTTTATGATACTATATTTCATTTAGTTTGTCAAGTGAGATTATGAAATCTGTACATAATTTTTAGTTTTTTAGAATAGTATATATATATATATAAACATAACCTTTCTTGTAAATATTCTTTTCTAATTCTATAAATTATATAAATTTTCTTTCCATTTTTAGAACTCTCCTTCTATAAGCAATTATAATATATCTCTCCCTAAAACTTCTGTGTCGTTGATAGTATCTCTCTTTAAATTTTCTCTCTCCCTAAAACAGAGCACCCAAAAAGACGTTTCCTGCTCTAAAAAATCAGCAATCCACCAGTTACAAACTTTCAGTAGAAATAGATAAAAATCATAAAAATGATTTATGAAAAATAGAGAAAAAGTTAGATTAAAAAAAAATTACTTCTTGTATTCAGAGGAGGCCATATCAAAGCAATATTTAGAAGTTTGGATCAATTCTATTAATATTTTCAATTGTGTGGACTTGTCTATAAATAGTTAGATTTATTTATGACTATGGAATAAAAGATAAGGCTGATAGGTGATTGTGAGACATGGGAATTGAGATTGAAGAGAGATATATTGAATTTAAGGATAATTTTGAAGAAAAATTTGGAATTTTAAGTATAATCCTTTTTGTTTTTTTCCTTAAAGTAAAGTTAATTTAGTAATTTTATTGTTAAAATTATGATTTGTCCTTATTTGCACAAATTGAAAAAAGTATTGAAGTTTTTCTAACAATAAAAGGGTAATTGCACATTTTATATATTATGAGAGAGTTTTTTTACACTTTAACCCTTCTAAATGACGTAGCCTTATTTACTTATTTTTTATTAAATATAATATATGAAAATCATGAATAGAAAATGTGAAGAATCAAACCGAAAAGCGTGCAATTTTTGTATTTATTTTGCTTAATCTAATTATCAATTAGTTTTTTTATTTCCAAAACTTAACTAAAATATTTCAAATTCCAAATTTATCTTCAATGCATATAGAAAACTTGTTTAATATAAAACATATCGAGAATAGTGGAAATATAATATCAAAAAAATTATTAATTAACATTAATTATTTTTATTAATTTGTGAAACAATAATTATCTTTAATTTATTATTTTATTTTTTATCTCATCATTTTTTACCAAAAGAAGGTACATGATATAACTAATAAAATAGAAGATGTATACTTATTTTCTCATCTTCAGATTCATGTAGATGCCTTGATAGTCAAGTGGTTAGTGTTTTCGATGGATTTTGAGAGTGTCAAACTTTAACTCTTTACATTTATTAATCTAACTTTTAACCTTTCTTGTCTTGCTAAAAAAAAAAAAAAAAAAACTTTAAATTCTAGTGATTCTTATTTTTCACCGTTCAAAATAAAAGAAGTATAAGTTCAAGGGACCGTAACGGATGTATGCGGTTCAAAATAAAAGATGTATAAGTTCAAGGGACAGTAACAGATGTATGCCATGGGCCCTTAACTAAAAAATAAAAAATATGAGTTTCTTAATAATATATATATATATATATATATATACATGACTAATAAAATATCAATAATTTGTGTTTTTTTACTGTTTCTTCTTGTTGTTATTCATTCATCAAGATTGAACCCTTAATCATAATCAAGGACTCATAATTGTCTGTGTCACATTGTGTTTCTACTTTTTTACATTATTTTAGAAAACTTAAAAAATACTAGAAAAAACTGTAAGCTTTAAACATGTACTCACCTTCCATGACATTATTGGCAGCAATTCTAGTTCTCTCTCCTATAAATAGCCAAGCAAACCCCCAGACCATATTGCCACCGCCAACAAAATATCAACTCTACCATTTCTTCATCCATCACAAATACAATTCTTTCTGATTCATCAAACCACCCCAAACCCATCTCAAATTCTCCACTTTCTCTCTGTCCAAACACTCCTATTCTCTACCACCATGGTGGTCTTGTCCAAACCAGCAATTGAACAGTTCTATGCCACCCAAACCAGCCAACCCTCCATTTTTTTCACTGGTGTCCCTCTTATAGACCTATCAAAACCGGACTCCAAGAACCTCCTTGTTAAGGCCTGTGAAGAGTTTGGTTTCTTCAAAGTGGTCAATCATGGTGTCCCAACTGAATTCATCACCAAGTTGGAAACAGAGGCTGTCAAATTCTTCTCTCTACCCCTGTCTGAGAAGGAAAAAACAGGGCCACCAAACCCATTTGGCTATGGAAGCAAGAGCATTGGATCGAGCGGTGATGTTGGTTGGATTGAATATCTTCTTCTAACCACCAACCCTGAATTCAGCTACCAGAGATTTGCATCAATTTTCGGCGAAGACCCGGAAATATTTCGGTAAAAAATCTAAACGTAGTCTGATGATAAATTCAATCTTGTTTCATTGAAAAATGATTTATTATGACTAAATTGAAATTGGTTTTCATTGTTGGTAGGTGTGCTGTGAATGATTATGTGTCAGCTGTGAAGAAGATGGCTTGTGAGATTGTTGAATTGTTGGCTGATGGGTTGAAGATTCAACCAAGGAATGTGTTCAGCAAGCTTTTGATGGATGAACAGAGTGACTCTGTTTTCAGGCTCAATCACTACCCTCCGTGTCCTGAGCTTCAGGATGATGATATGAATGATCCAAATATGATTGGATTTGGAGAACACACTGACCCACAAATCATTTCGGTTCTAAGATCTAACAACACTTCTGGCCTTCAAATCAACTTGAGAGATGGAAATTGGATTTCAATCCCACCTGATCAGAATTCCTTCTTCATCAATGTTGGTGACTCTTTGCAGGTACAGTTACTTCTAGTGAAACTTTTTTTTTTCTTTTCTATAGTTTTCATGGTTTCATTTAATTTTTCCTTTTCCTTTTCCTTTGGGCATTATTCAACGAAAGTTACAAAACACTGTTTTACAGTTAGGAACCTTCTTTTTTTTAAAAAAATAATAATAAAAAAATTATTTGTTACATGATTTTTGCATTGGTAAACTAAACCTATTCATCTCAACGATATGTGTTTCTTTTTGCAGGTTATGACAAATGGGAAGTTCAAAAGTGTTAGGCATAGGGTTTTGGCAAACAGTTCAAAATCAAGGGTTTCAATGATTTATTTTGGAGGACCACCATTGAGTGAACTGATTGCTCCATTGCCTTCAATCATGGAAGGAGAGGACAGCTTGTACAAAGAGTTTACTTGGTTCGAGTACAAAAAATCTGCCTTCAAGTCCAGACTGGCCGATAATAGGCTGGGCCTTTTTGAGAAAATTGCTGCCTCGTAATGTTCTCTTTTGAGTCCAAGACTTCAAAATATTAGGTTTTTTAATAGTAGTTGATCAAATTCTCCATAGACGGAAAACTTTGTAATCTTTTTTTCTCTTGTTTTTGTTTCTCATACTTCATGTAACTACCTTTTCTTGTTAATAAAACAAGTCCATCGTGTTGTCATCAACATCAACCACTGTCAAAAGTAGAAGCTTTAATGATAATTTTGAGAACAACTCCTATTTATCCAAGTGCCAAGGAAAAAGGTACCTCATAAAACCTTATAAAACATTACATTACACTCAAAAATATATATAAGATAAGTTACTAGAGTAAAAAAAAAAAAAAAAATCCCTATTGCTAAACTCTTATTCTCTTTGGTTGATTAAAGAAATGAAGGAAATTATTTTAATAAATTTACCATTATACCATTTCAAATTTAAAAGAGAAATGTATAGGTAAGAAGTAACAACACAAATAGTAAAGACTGTTAAATATAATTCAAATGATAATTTGAAAGCAAAAATAGATAAAAAATAAAAAATAAAATCATGTCTTAGGACTCATATGATATTTTGATTTTGTCTTTTATAAAAGTAAATGCAAAATCGGTATTAATAATGTTTCATTAATTTTTATAAGTCCTTTCTTTTCCTTCAGTAACCCGTACGCGTGATGTGACCTAATTAATCAACATACAATTAACCCAGTAACAATTGTCAACGGGTAAATTCACAAAAATTGTTGAATTTTTATGCAACATCACATTTTGTTCTAAGAAAAATGTGATTTGCAAGTAACTTTATGTATCTCTAAATTACAACAAAATTTGGTTGATGCAGGTTCAAGTTTGATATATCTCAATATTCTGTGGATCGGATAATTTTATTTTTTTTCTTTTTGTTACTACAAAGTTGGCTCGCAGTTTCAAGTTATGAGGTGATGCTTAAATTTTAGGTCTCGAATATGAGTGTGCTCATCACTGCCTGTGAGTTGTGTGTTGTGACCACAACCCCAAAGAAACAACTGGCACAAACTATGTAATTCTGTGGCCTGGCAAGTGCCAACATCAATGTAAATACAAATCACGTGAGACTAAAATGAGTGACTTTCTGGTACATTACTTTCTCAGCCTTTTTGCTGATAGTTCAAGTTTTATAGGGCACTAAATAGGCGTCCACCACATTGTTCAGCCATAATTGTATGCAGGGCAGCCATGTCTTTACCTTTGTTTATTTATTTTTGGAAATATACTTCTACCACCGAGCCAATTCTAATCACATTGAGTGAGAGCCTGAAAAAAGAGTAAAATCTTAATTAATTGCACGGAATGAAAGAGGAGAGAGAACGAGCGTAAAAACAATACCCATCGAAAAGAATTGTGCATCTTAGATTCAATCAATCAAATTAAACTGACCTAATGATGTAGCATTACTCCTCTTTTGATATTTTAATGTTCAAAGACCAACATGAGGGGCTTGTATATTGACTTCTATGCGGAAAGGGAAAAAAAAAAAAATTCATGTCCATGTATAATGCGATACTCTCTCTCTCTCAGAGAACGTGTTGTGTTTAGTAGTCATGACTATCATCGACCTCATTCATAGAATGATCTTGAAGAGTCACTTCAATGTTTGAAGTTTACAATTGAGGACTAAAAAACTTTGAAAACATGGGGGTAAAAAAAGATACACACTGTATAATATAGAGATGTGATTTGATTTTATAAAATGACGAGAAGTGACAAGTCAATGGGGAAATATATATATATATATATATCATACAATGTTATAAAGTTTACCTATTGAAAAATGGACTTTGTAGATTTTGCTTTTTCTCTTTAAGATTTTGTTCCAACTGAATTCACACTTGAGGAATGAAATTATCACTACAAAATCAAACACATTTATTTCCTTCACATAAACGTTTTTCACCTTCCATTTTCACCCTCTAAATCAATGAAGAAAATGAAAAATTGGCTTCTCACTCTTCAAGCCATTAACATGATGTAATTTTCTTCTTCAATAAAAAGTGAACTCGAAAGGCTAATTAGAAAGAAAAGTATATTCGGAACCGACCAAATCCTACTTTATATTGATTAATGAAGTATGGAGAGACTTGGAGTGGTTGAAAATCTATAAACAATCATAAAACACAATCTTTTTATATTGAAATTTTGTGGACATGTCAAAGTCAATATAAACATGTGTTTTGACTTTGTTTTTACCTAGGTCATTCTTGCTATGTTTAATCACTGTTGGGACCATAGGAAGCAAATAGTGAGCACATAGAAATCATTAGCGGCTCCATAAACATTTGGTGGACCAATTTAATTCAGACTCTTAGAAAGAAAAAATGGACTCACAAAAGTATATTAATATATTACAAAAAAATCTCAACAATTATTTGGATTTAACTAGTTTGTCAAACGCACCTGAACCATCTAATAATTTTTCTAAGACATAAGTTATACGACCATCGTTTCATTGAGAGGAAAATGTCTTCTAATTAAGCTCAATGGATTGGCTAGTTGGAGAAGATTTAAGTCCTGGGGTCTCATAAATCATCAGGTCTTTAGGATCAATTATTCATAATTACAAACAATTTCTTAGGGTCACATCTGCAGATACAGTTTGAGCTTTACCCAATTTGTATGGAGGCTTTGTACGAGTCTTGTGAATTAGTCGGGACAAAGACTCAGACACCCTTATCCGAAAAATAAAAAAACGTCTTTAATTGAAAAATGCTTCCCATGGATAGCTAAATGTTAGGAGGACAAATATTTTTATTATTCTGAATTCAAAAATTATAACATTTTGATGTAGTTTGAATCAAAATTTACTAAATTGATAAAAATAAAAAATAAAAAATTTGTTTAAATTTGGCATTTGTAAAGGTACTTTGCTATTTATAACCAACCAAACTTAATGAACAAACCATGTGTGTTTTTGGTCATTTGATTCATTTCATGTGTATGGAACCCCCACATTATCAAAAGGCCAAAAGCAATTTTATCTTTGAGCCTCCCAATTGACTAGACCAAAATTTGTTTATATTTTAAGTCCAACCAAACAACTTAATCGCCAAACCAAACGTGTTTTTGGCCATTTGATTCACGTGGGTGAGACCCCCCACACAAGCATCAAAAAGCCCAAAAACAGACTTTAGCATTTGGGGCTCTCAAATCACTTTAAAAATCATTTTTGATTGCATAATCTTCATGATAATTTCATAAATATCTGGAAAATGTTTTTTTTTTGTAACACAATCACTTCCAAGTGTATTTTTACCGAAGATTATAGTATAGTGATATCTCTTCTATCTCTCAAAATAAAATATAAAGGTTGGAGTTCTCGCAAGAACAAATAGTTACGTGTGTTTCTTGCTAATTGAAAAATATATATATTAATTCCAGGTTTTTGGCTGCTAAAGGGCTTCGCTCGAAGTTGCAGGAGGATTTCTTTGACTTGTTGGTTTCAACTGATCACAAATCGTCCTTGAAAGAGAAAGGAAGTATTGAGTGATAGGGAAATGCAATTAAATGATGAAAACAATGTTTGAATTGAAAGGAGAGATGGCTGTAGAAAACCTGTAAAAATTGATAGGCAAGGCATGGGTTCAGATCACTTCCCCATCAAGCCAGTGAACCACATTGTGCCCAGAACACATTTAAGCTTGGGAAGTTATGGTCCCCAATCAAACCATAGGCTGTCCACATCTACATTGAGTCATGGGCTTAGTTTTTAGGATATTCTGTCATCCAATCATATCTTAATACTTTAAATCTAAAAAACTCAAACTTAGCTGCTGGAATTTGTATATTCCCTTCTTTCTTTTTTTAAAATAATAATATAAACTTTGTGTATTCAATTCCAAAAGTATTGGGAGAATAATTTACACAAATCAATTAATGATTTAATTGCCATGATCTGATGTTGGTCTTATCAATGTATAGTTCCATTTGTAAGACAAAATGTTGAGGACAAAAAGTTATGTGTTTTTTTTTTCCTTTTTTTCCTCCCCCTCCTCAAGTTCAAGCAAACATGTACTAGTTGTATATTTTTGCCGCCACTTAAAATCAAACTGTGTCAAAACGGAAGGGAACTTTAATTTTTTTTTTCTTCCCCCACAAGAAAAGGGAAGGGGAAACCATGTAAAACAAAGTTGGAAATGCTTTGTTTTTTTAAGCTTATACCATGTAAAACAAAGTTGGAAATGCTTTTTTTTATTTTTAAAAAAAAAAATGAAAATGAAAAAAGTGGCAAAGTTAACATTGATGACAATCAATAAAGAAGAGGAATGGTGTTGGTGAAAATTTATGTAGCAAGGCAACAGCTTGCAATGGGGATGGGGAGATTGGGAGATGGAGAGCTATCTGCATCAAGAATGAAGATGTCTTTGTCCCTGAACTAGGAGGAATCATATCATAATGTCATTGCCATACTTATTGAAGCAGAAAGTGAGGTGGAATCACCCACAAAATAAAGGGACCAAAAAAAAAAAAAAAGGATACAACAAATATATATATATATATATATATATATATATATATATATATATATATATTTGTTGTATTTGGTCATGCTATATAGTATTATTAAGTACTAACATTTTCTTATAAGATTAAGGCAAACAAGTTGAAAATTTTACTTTATGAAGAATTTTAGGCAAATTTAGTCATGCTTTATATTTTAAGTCAAGTGGTCCCTTAATATTAATTATTTGGAAGTTAAGATGATTGTAGTATAATATAAAGGGATTTTTACCAATACATGGGCTTAAGGCCCAAATTCTATAATATAATGAGGTCAAACTTTGGCTACAACTAGAAAATGGGAGGACCACACAAACTTTTTCTTAAATATGGAGGGACCACACAAATTATTTCTATATAATGAAGTGATATTCTACTTTGAACCACACAACAAACTATATTATTAATATGACCCAAAACAATATACTATTATAACATAAAAACCTTAGAATGTAAAATAAACTTACGAAAAGATCCTTAAACAAACTAGTTAATATCTTTTAAATATTTTTTAAGTTTTTCACAATAAATTAAAATTTCACAGTAGATTAATATGGATTTATAGACTTCTTTAGACAAAAGATCTTATATATAAATTAAATTTAACGAAACAGTATAAGCTCTGATATCAAAATTAAATTCAATCGAACCGG